GGTATGAACTTGTATCTATTGTTTTGTACCCAGTGACTAACCAGTTGCCCCAATATCATGTTTAGTATAGTCCATCCTTTCCCCATTGACCTGCAATACCACTTCTATGTATTAAGTCTCCTATTTACATAGGCCTGTTCTCAGCTCTTTAGTCTATTCCATTGATTCATATATACTGGCACATTATTTAATTGATACTGCTTTAACAGAACTGTTGTTATCTGGTAAGACAGGTTTTTATTTTATTTTTTGTATTCTTAGACCTTTACTCTTCAATGTGAATTTTGGTATTATTGTTGAGTTTCTTGAAAAGTGTTTTTGGAGTTTTGAAATAAGTTGTATTGAATTGGTATCTTAATGATAAAAAATTTTCGTTCATGAAAATATATCTTTGTACTTATTCATGTTTTACTTTATGAACTTTAGTTATGTTTTATAACCTCTATGGAGATTTTGCTTATCATCTATTAGTTTTATTCCTAAGTACTGTCTAGTTTTTGTTGCTTCTATGAATGGATTTTTTTTTTTCAATTTGAGACAGAGTCTTGCTCTTGTGTCCCAGGTTGGAGTACAATGGATCTCAGCTCACTGCAACCTCCAGCTCCTGGGTTCAAGCGATTCTTCTACCTCAGCTTCGAGAATAGCTGGGATTATAGGTGCCTGCCACCACACCTGGCTAATTTTTTATTTTTTATTTTTGTATTTTCATCATGTTGGCTAGGCTGGTCTTGAACTCCTGACCTTGTGATCTGCCAGCCTCAGCCTCCTAAAGTGCTGGGATTACAGGCATGAGCCACTGTGCCTGGTCTTTTTTTTTTTTTTTTTTTCTTTTTGAGATGGAGTCTTTCTCTGTCACCCTCGCTGGAGTGCGGTGGCGTGATCTCGGCTCACTACAACCTCCACCTCCAAGGTTCAAGCAGTATTCCCTGCCTAAGCCTCCGGAGTAGCTGGGATTACAGGTGCCCACCACCACGCCCACCTATTACGGTATTTTTTTAGTAGAGATCTGGTTTTGTCCTGTTGGCCAAGCTGGAGTTGAACTCCTGACCTCAGGTGATCTGCCCACCTCAGCCTCTGAAAGTGCTGCGATAACAGGCGTGAGCCACTGTGCCCGGCCGGATCTTTTTTTCCTTAGACGGAGCCTCTCTCTGTTGCCCAGACTGGAGTGCAGTGGCATGATCTCGACTCACTGCAACCTCTGCCTCCTGGTTTCAAGCGATGCCCCTGCCTTAGCCTCTGGAGTAGCTGGGACTACAAGCATGCGACATCATGCCCAGCTAATTAAAAAAAAAAAAAAAAAGATTTTATTAGAGATGGGATTTTACCATGTTGACCAGGACGGTTTCGACCTCCTGACCTTGTGATCTGCCCACCTTGACCTCCCAAAGTGCTGGGATTAAAGGCGTGAGCTACCGTGCCCCACCTGGATCTTTCTTTCTTTCTTTCTTTCTTTCTTTTTTTGAGATGGAGTCTTGATCTGTTGACCAGGCTGTAGTAAAGTGGCACGATCTCGGCTCACGGCATCCTTCGCCCCACGGGTTCAAGCGATTCCCCCGCCTCAGCTTCCTGAGTAGCTGGGACTACAGGTGTGCCTCACCACGCCCAGCTAGTTTTTTTGTATTTTAGTAGAGACAGGTTTTCACTATGTTTCTCTTTGGTTATTGTTTGTATGAAGGAATATTGTTTTTAACTAAATTCAACGTGTGGATTTTATATAGTTTGAAAACAAAAACGGACTGCTTAAAAAAAGATTTATGACATTTATGAGATTGTTGGAAGTTTGAACATTGATTGGTTAGTTGATATTAGAGAATCGTTGTTAACATTTTAGATGTGGAAATGATAACTATAGTTTTGTTTTTTTAAAAGTTCTTATTTCTTAGAGATTATATACTGACATTTATGAATATAATTATATGTTGTGATTTGCTTCAAGATAATATTGAAGATTCTGGGATTATATAGGCAGTAGGAAGAAGGGGAAAGGGTGGGAAGATAGAGGAAGCAAAAGCGGCCATGTGTAATGGGTACATGAGGCTTTATTGCTGTTGAGTTTTATATGCTGGTCTTACACAGAAACCTTTCTCCATTTTCATATTCATCTTAATGGTTGTTTTGGATTTTCTATATAGAACATCATATATCTGCAAACAACTATTTTGCCTCTTCTTTTCTAGTCCTCTGCTTCTCATTTCTTTTCCTTTCTTCCTTCCTGCCTTCCTGCCTTCCTGTCTTTCTTTCACTTTTTCCCTCCCATGGTCGTGGACCAGGATCTTAGCAGCATGATGTTGAATGATAGTGATGATAGCAGCCTTCCATAGTTTGTTGTTTGATTTTAACAGGAACACATCTGAGATGTCACCATTAAGTATGATGTTTATCATAGGATCATGGTAGATGTGTTTAATCAGATTAGAGAAGTTCCTGTCAATTCCTTGTTTGCTGGTAGTTTTTTTTTCAGTGCCTGAGTAATACTGAATTTAATGCTTTCTGGGTATCTAATTAATTGACCATGTGTATTTTCCCCTTTAATCTTTCTTTTACTTTTCTTTTGCTTCCCCTTTTATCTGTTTGTATGGTATATGACATTAACAGATTTTGTA